ACAGATAAAAATGTTGGCGGCAGTCATGCAATTGATACATCCATTTTCTTCCATAACACACACACTTGGATGAATTAGTTATTAATTTTATTTTATTCTTTTTAATCAGCTCCACGTATGGACTAAAGATCCTTGCATTTTATGATGTCTTTACCGTTGTGCTATGATGGCATCAAGCATCGTTAGCCAGTACTTTTTTTATCGGAGAAACTTGTAACTTTTAAACATATTATGATATTTTGACGTGTTTCTTATCTTGTAGGGATGAGAGACTTAACTTTCCCAAGGAGATGCATATTCACAAAGATGTAAGTAGTCCATGCTTTAAATTCTGTAACTTACAAAGCACGCTGCATACTTTAATTGAAAATCTGGTAGAATTAGAAAGTTATTGGCTTCATCATGATAAATTTCATTTTGAGTTACTTAGGGCACAAGTGGACGTAGGAAGAAAATGATAAGAACACATGAACCAGGATCAAGAAAACACCACCATGGTGAACACAAGTGTTCTGGGCTTTTGGCAGCAAACTATATTACTGTTAAGGAATCATTAGAAAAAGAAATTAAAGAGCTATAGTTAAGGAAAACTAACCATTTCATGAAAAATGGGCAAACGCCAGCAAAAATTACTGTTTACTGCTCACTCTTCAAAAAAATGAATTGCTAGTAACTCGCGCGCGGTAAAGAAATTCCCACCATATGTTGGTGCATATTATTAACATTAACAAAAAAACAAACCTAAATAGGCCAGTCTTTCACTGTAATGCTGTTAATAATCATCCTCACACAAATCACTATTCATAACGATCTTCACTTTGCAAAATTTCATCACAGGTCCTCAAGCTTTTCTCTTGCTCTATTGTGGTTCAAAGACTTTATTTTCTTTCAATTAGGTCCTCAAGAGTTCCTTCTTGGTTGCTCTGGATTTTTTTCATTCTCTTTGAATTTCATGTAATCTCTTTCCCTGGGTATTGTAGATTATTTTGGCATTGCATGCCATGTCGATTTTACATGGGAAGTTTTGAAATTATTGTTAAAAAAATAAAAAAATTCAAAGAATAGGGATCAAAATCGACATTGGAAAAAGTTGAAAGCCGTTTTCGTTCTTTCTGTTAAAAAATGCATGTAAATCTAAGCTTTGATCCTTCTATTTTACCTTAGTCTCCTAGGATTTTGGATTTTTCATTTAGGTCCCAAATTTCATTTGTTTTGCATTATAGACCTTGAGTCTGGAGAGAGGAGAGAAAAAATAGTCCGAAAAATTTGAGGAGATAGAGCTCACTTGGTGTCTATAGATTAAGAGAGGAACTTGTCTTTAAGAGAGAAACTTACTGAAAATAGAATGAAAAAAAGGTAGAAGCACATTTTCACTCAAAAACATGATTACATTGCAAATATTTGGCAACGTGATACCATGACACATGGGCAGGAGGAAGTTTCCTCTACCTCCAGCCATCATTATCCTAGTCAAAGGTGATCGCCTGCTACTTTTTGTAACACTTTGGCGTATGTATGTTGAAAAAAAAATAAAAAATACCAGTGCTGCTAGCAACAGCCAAAGATGTCGATGCCTATAGCTCTTAAGAAAATAGGAGCTCCTATCACATGGCTCTTCTAGTTTGAGCATTCTTCCTTCACTGGTGTGATTCATGGCTAAAAAATGGTGAATCCTGTGTAGCAAATGGTTTCATGTTCGGCTGGGGCATTTTATAAAACAGCCAGCAAAGAGCATGAAAAGTTTTACCGGCTACACTGAACTCTGGCTTGTGCCGGCAGAGTCTCGTGCCTGCATTTATCGAAATTAGAAGGCCAAAAACTGCAGCAAGGAAGTGCTTCTTGCCTGACTGTTTAGCAGATATTAACTAGACTTTTGATCTCCCGTTTCCTGTGTTGTTTTCAGCTGGTGCTAGCCAATAGCTGTCTCACGTTTGGAGAATATTCTGAGATGCTGCTGGACAAGTATTACCACTTGAAAGCGTAAAGGGCCGTAATGTTCCTTCTCCCCCGCTTTCTATATCAACAGTTCTGTATCACGTCATGATCGTATAATAAATTCCTCTGTCTGCTTGGAAGACCCAAAGACAATTTTGATATGAACTCCTGCCTTCCCATTGTCTTATTCATAGTCGCATGTTATTGATAGAAGATAGAGGAAAGAAAAGGGATTCTTGCTGATGTCGTCAGCATCAACGGATTTATTCGTTTTCTATTGCCACAGTGATGAATCTCTTCTTGCTATGGGCTCTGATAAAGATGAAGAAAAGCATGGTAGGCGTTCATACCCTCCGAATCCCATTCCCCCTAGCCCCCACTTGGTTTTTCTTTTTAAATTATCACTGATTAAAAAAATAACAGTTTCAAAAAGTTTTTACAAAATAACTGTGTTGATGAAATCAATGGTATAAAATTGTTAAGTGGATCGTCTCAAATAACAAGTAGAATGGGGAGAGAATAATAAAAAAAAAGGAGCTCTTGAAGGTATATTCAAATTGAAGATTTTGATAAGATGAATTTAATGATATTAAAAATAAATTATTAATAATAATTAAAATAGGTTATTAGTGCTCTTGAAAGATGACGGGTAAGTTATTGATTATTATTAATAATTAAAAGAATTCTTGAAGGTATATTTAAAATTGTTTTCTGATAAGATAAATTTAATGATATAAAAAAATTATTAATAATAATTAAAAGAGGTTATTAGTGCTCTTGAAAGATTACAAGTCTGTGAACAATGCATCTAATTCACTTTGATTATTACTGGTATTTTTTTTTCAATGTTATTAAATTTATTTTATTGATATTTTTCCGAAAATATAATAAAAAAATTAAGATTTTGGTTTTTTTTTTAAATATAGTGAGTGATAAAAATAGATTGCTAGCGATCACGTTTCTTAATGTGATCAGATTTATTTGATTGATATTTTCTGCCACTGTATTGTAATCAGTGTGCCTAAAAAGGTTTTTTCCTTTTTTGTTTTTCTTCCCTCCTTTATCATCATTGAAATATATATATATATAGACCTTTTCAAGCGAGCAAGCTCTAGCTGTGGGAATTGTCAAAGCCATTCAGGATAAGGTGGGTCCCGAGTTGATATACTTCTGCTGTGGTGTAAGCGTGTGAAAATGGTTTTATTTATCGTTGAGGGATAAGAACAAGAGGAAGAAGATGATAATTTATTCTAAACGGAGGTATGTTTTATTTGGCAACAATAAGGCACAGGTCGGCCGATAAGTCCCAATCTGTCACGATTCGAGGTATCGATGCTATGATGTCATGCTCGCCGGCCTGCCGCTTGGTGCTCTCTCTCGGTATCAAAGGTCAATCTTGGCATTTGAAATTGCTCGTGTTTTCGCCTCTGTGGCCGCTGTAGCTGTTTTTAAGTGTTTTTTTTTTTAAAAAAAAAATCTTTGATCTAAAAAATAGATATAAATACACGAAAACTTGTTTGTTTCCGTCGTCGTTTTCGACAAAATAAAACTGACACGTTCTCAACACTCTTCAAAATGAAAAACTGAGTTATCAAAATTAGTTTTATATATTATAATGCTATAATTTAAGAATTAGGTAAGGCAATGACAAGTGCAAATGCTCTTTAGACCAAACTAATAATTCATTTAGGGATATATTATTATTAAATTAGTTTTATAAAATCAAAGTAGAATTCTAATAATTTAAGTATTAAATTAACACTAAGTGCGTTTTATATCCACCTTTCAATGAATTGTTTTTGAAAAAATTTGAATTTTTTAATTTAAATTATTTTGACGTTTTTAGATATTAAAAGTAAATTTTAAAAAAATAAAAAAAAATATTTTATAAAACATCATTATATAAAATGGTTACAAGTTTGCCTTGAAACATTTATTATAGCAGGAAGTCTGGATTTTAAAAGGAAAACGTGGGCCAAAAAAGGACAAAAAAGCCGCGGTGGGGGCTGTACACAGCCCCTTACACGGCTTCTCTGAGCTCAGGTCCTTTTCAGTGTCTGAATTAGCATCCACTCTCATTTGACCAGCGTGTGAATTTCTTTCTGTAATGACCAGAAAACCCCTGCTAGGATAAGTAATTGTGTTGAAAATACAAGTTCATGATTTGTGTGCTGTCTCTTCTTCTTCCCCTTTCTTTACTGCAATTTTGGTCATTCGCTTCGCTCATTTGCAACTTTTAGCCCAAATATAACTTCAGTAAAACATTTTATAATAATGAAAAAAATAAAAAGACCAGGATTCTTACAGGGGTAGTAGTGTCAATTTAAGAGAGGGATACCGGCGCTTTCCTTCAATGAAAGAACAGGGTGGGGCAGCGTCCAATCCACCACAGTGGTGTCCGTGTCTCTCTTCTTCTATATAACCACCAACCATAGCGTTCCTTTTTTCCCAATTCATTGTCTTCTCCAAATACACATAGCTAAGCTATCTCCATAACAACAGTTTCTCGGTTTTCCTTCAATCACTGAGACCATGTCCTTCTCTAACTACCTTCCCCTACCATCCCGTTCCAACAGAAGAAAAGGTCACGGAAAGAATGGTTTTCGAAGGAGGTGCTTGTCCATGGCAAAGCAGCAAAAGACCCGTTTTTACATCCTTGGACGTTGCATCTCCATGCTTCTGTGCTGGCATGACCATGCTATACGTGATTGATTCCTCTTATGCTACCCAACAATCGAAGTCATTATATGCTTGGCTCGCTGTCAAAGCAGGATGAATACGGAGGCATGGCCGCCACAAAGCAAAGCAGCAGCAAGTCGATCGCTTTTGGGACTTTCAGCTCAAAGACGACAGAAACACAGCACTTGGGTGAAACAAACTGAAGGCCCAGCCAGCCCTGGATCTCTTATTCAAGCGGCTTGATTATCAATCTCCTTAAGATGGATGATGCCTCAGAAAAATCAACGCAACAGTTCTGAAGGGATTAATTAATGTCAACTGGGCCGGGCCACGAGGAGACGTCTCTCACTCTCTGAAATTGTTTCCTCCGGTGGTCTTTTTGTTCGTCAGTGCTTGAAAGGATAGGAAGAATCAATTTTCTCTTTCTTTGATTAAATTTCTAGTGCACAGCAACCCTCTTCTTGCTTTTCTTTACACACACGCACACGTATGTATAGTTAGTGCATCGTGATTGCTATCGCAGCATCGAGTGAGGTATTAATGTCGAATACTCTTTCTAAACTCCCTGTACATAGAAATTACAATAGATATTGTAATAAAATACTGTGGCATTCTTTTACCACAGTTCAACGTGGAATTCGAAGCTGTTTACAACTTTCCCTCACCGGAAGAGTCATTGGTTATTCTTAAATGCAAATGCCATTTTCGGGAACTTGATTTGAACGTCTAAATATCATTAAAACCCAAAAAAAAAAAAAAATTACAATTCTCAGCCTGTTTGTTTTGAGATTTCTCTGTCGAGAACAATTATATGAAATATGTGTTATTTCTATTAATTAGATATACTAAAATAAATTAATTTTTGCTGATGGTTTTGAATGATGGTAACATGTAGAAAAAGTTGTGATATTGATGGTGAAAATGGTGACGGGGGGTAGTTTAATGACTTTTTCTTTATCTTACTCGGATCATCTTGATTTGTGGGGGTAGGTATTCGGGTTTTTTTTAGTTTCCAACATTATAGGTTAAATCTTGTTCAACCGAACCCACTAAAAAGCATTACCGATTCTGAACAAAATTTATGTTTGGTATTTCGATTTTGGTTTATGCCCATTTTTTCAATTTCTTTGGAATTTCTGGTGAGCTGCTTTATGCTGGCTTTGGGAAAGAGATTGCTGCTCTGACCATTGGTTCTGGCTTTAGTTTGGCACTGCAAATTGTGAGCTCTGCGATCCTAACTTTATATACCTTGGGGATGTTGATGGTCGTGATCATGTTTGATTGTTGAGCCTATGCTTTTTCCAGTGACATCCTGCGTGTTTAACTGGTAATTGTTTATCTCGCGTCATGTACTTTGATTCATGCTTTTTTATGGTTTGATTCTGACTCTTGCTTGGCTCTACAGTGTTGGCGCTGAAGCTGCCCCTTCGTCATCCTGGGTTGGCTCTGCAATGTTGGTCCAATGGAATTGCCCATGATTTAGGTTGAGCGGGGATGATCTGCTTTGAGTCCTGTCAGTCAAGGTCCGCGTGCTGAGGATTTTATACGACCTGTTCTGTGCATTTTTTAGCCTACTCAGTTTCATTTTCATGCCAAATGGGAGCGCCAATTAGACATCAACATTTAATGCGTTTCTCATCCTGAGGTCTCCACCCGTTTTCTTCTGTTTTGGAAGGGTCATCTTTCTGCTGGAACCTGATTGCTAGTCTGATTAGAGCAGGAATTTGTTGTGTACAAGGGATTCTGTGGTTGCGTATTATACAGTTTATGTTGGATTGAAACCAGTTTTGTAACTCAAAATCATTTTCATTAAATTATCTTCTGTAGTCGTTCTTGCAGGTCAACTCTCTCCTTGAAGATCATGTTCCCCTTCCATATTTTTGGGTTTGTGCGCTGCATTCGTCCCCTTTTTTCTGACCTTGATTCATCCTGTCTCCATAAAGGCTCTAAGATGCTTACATGTTTTTCACTTTTTTAGTTCTTTTTCTTGCTACCATTGTTGGCATGAAATCTTTTCTTTTCTTTGTTGTTTATTTGGGATTTAGACTACGCTTTTTAGAATGAGATGGTGTTCTTTTAATTGGCTCTGTGCCTCATTCTTTGATTTTGATGATTCTTTAAAAAATACTGTGTTTTCCTTTTCCCTTTGGCTTGGTTCTATTGTCGTGGCTGTTGGTCTACAGAGATTTTCTGACAGTTTTTTTCTTTAGTTTGTTCATAGATATTGCTCTTGCTCTTGTTAGGGGAGTCTACTGTCTTTTGTGTTGTTGTCGGTAGGTTTTTCTTTTATCAGGGTTCTTGCTTCTTTTTTTTTGTGGTCAGTTGAGGCTACTACACTTTCTTTTGTCTTACATGTTATTTTCTTCTACCCATTCTAATGCGTACATTATGCAGTCCATATTGGAAGTGTGATTGGAGAATGTTTTGTTAAGAAATTATGGATTGCAATCCTGTCTTTTTTTGTCGATCATTGTTTCTTCAATGAAGCCTGTCTATAGTGACCCTCTTTTTTTCTCTGCCCCGACTTTCAAACCTTTTTCACCTTCTATTTGTCGTGTTCATATGTGCTTTATTGTTCCGATTGTTGTGACTTCAAATGTTTGTGTGGTTTTCTTTTCTGGTTGTGCTTGTGTATGTTTCAATATTTTGTTTATCATTAGATATTTTTGCTCTTCCATTGTTCATTGCGTCATTGTAGTGGAACTGATTCAACTTTCTCATGGTGTTGCAACTACGTGCGCAGTTCCGCCTTCTTTTCATTATAGAGAGGTTTGCACCTAATGAGTGCGCAGGTGTCCAACATTTTTTAGTTTCTGGTTTGATTCAGAACCAATAGTTGTTGTGCCCTAAACATTTAGACAAAACTTGATGACGATGGCTAAGAAACTGCAATCTTTATTTTCTAGCTCGCGCTGTTAATTTCTTTTAGATTTTAATTAGTGAGATATATTAGTTTTTTAGATTCAGCACCCAATGAGCACCTCATTGTTATGGAATCGTTTGCCCTTGTTAGTTTTTTAGATTCATTAGATTCAGCACCTAATGAGCGTTTTTTAGATTTTAATTAGCGAGATATATTATAGAATCAAATTGCCTTGTGAGAAGGTATACATAGAATACATAAAGCTCTCTTGTGGACTGGAATCGTTTGCCCTTGTTATTGATGACGCTAAAGTTGAGTTCCATTTCCAGGGGCACCAACAGAGTCTTTCTTAAAAGTTTCTCAATCTTAAAAAATATAACTTAACTGATCAGTTTATAAAACATTATTAATTTAAATTTTATAAATTTTAAAATTATTAAAAATTTATATAATTATTAATTTTAAAATTTATTAAATTAGTTAAGATATATTCAAGTTAATTCAAATACGTACCTAAATCTAAAAAAAATAGAGGCTTCTCTGGGCCTTGACGTTCGTTTCCTAATGTGGACTGTGATGCTATCTGAAAAATATTAACTTAAGAGTCCTCCTTTTAGTGTGTTAAGTTTTCCATGCATTGGTTTTATTTAACACCAAATATAAATAGATGGAGGCAGAAAAAAGGGTTAGATTGGAAAAGGATTACATTTATTTGGTCAAGCTATCTTACTTTTAAATTTGATTGCTTACTAGAATATGATTAGAATTTTGGTAATGGTGGTGGATTAAAGTGTTTTTTTTATTATTTAAAAATGTATTAAAATAAGTTTTTTATTTTTAAAAATTATTTTTAATATTTATATATTAAAAAAATATAAAAAAAATTATTTTTAACAAAATCTTTTTTAAAATTTTAACGGGAACTGAGTAGGTGATGGCACACACATCGGCTTTGTATTCTTTTCTTCTTTTTATCTACTTCTAAATTTTGAAAATATTGTCGTCCAACTCGAACTCTTAATTAGCAAGATATTTTGTATGGCTTATTGCAAAAGGAAAAGAACATTTATATAATGCTTTTTATGATCTACACGATGTTAAAAGGCAAGTTTGCCTTCATTTTTGTATGGCTTATTGCATAAGGAAAAGAACATTTAGATAATGCTTTTTATGATCTACACGATGTTGAAAGGCAAGTTTGCCTCCAAGTGTGGTAAAGAAATTATAAATTTAATTACAAAATTATAATTATAAAGTTCAAGAGTCACAATCTAATATTATAATCATTATAAAACTTAATGATCTGTGAAAGTCCGGGTAAAAGATTCATTGTATATAAAAAATACATATCATTTCTAGTACATCCTATCTGATGTAAGTTGCGTTGTTATTAACTAAAAAAATATTTGTTTTACTTTCAAATATCTTTTAAAAATATATTTAACTTGAAAAAAATATTAAATCAATATATTTTTTATAGACTTGTTATGCTTAGAGATAAAAAAGAATATAAAAAAATTATTTTAATATATTTTACGTGAAAATTTTTTATTATTATTATAATATCAAATGCATTTTATTTTTTTTTAAATAACACTTTGTGTATGTTATTTCTACCTAAAATCACTAACGAAATGTAATTATTTTAAGTTGTAATTACTATGATTTTGTCTTATATATATATATATATATATATATATATATATATATATGCATGAAAAATCTAGTTGCATACATGAAAACCAAACATTTTTTTAAAAAAAAAGTTTATTTTTTATTTTTTGGATTTTTTTAAGTTTCGGAGAAAATCGAGTACTTTTAATACTATATATGTATTTTACAATATAAGTCTACGGTCTGATATTATGCAAAATTTGTTGAAAAAACATATGAGGGATTCACAGTTTTTTTAAAAAAATTCCCCTTGAAAAATTTAAATTTTTTTAATATTATTATATATTATTTTAAAATAAATGGATCGGAATTGGTTAGGTCAGGTTGGGTCATTGTATGATCACTAACCTAGTATTTTTGATATTGCAAACAATGGCTTGAGAGGGAAGGGGGGGGACTTGTGTGGCTAAAGGAGCAGAGTTGTTGGTAGTGCTGGAAAGTCCGACTTATGGTTGATGATAGCAATGACGATGGAGGCACAATGAAGGAAGTCGAAGAAGAAGGTTGGTGAAGGGTAAAAAAAAAAAAACTAGAGGAAAGAGTTGATTTTTCCCAACTATACACTTTGATTTCTTGTTTTTTCAATACTTGAAACCACCTCTATTTATAAAAGATGAAAGAAAGACATTTTGTTTATGTTTTTATTAGGAACAAATCTTGGCCCTTGATTTAAGTGGAAAGGATCGTAACCATTGTCTCAAAAGTGTCATCATGGTCTGTAAAATTTTGGCTTATAAGGTTGGTCAAGTTGGTCACTTTGGGGCAATGCCATATGGTTGTAGGGGCAATTAGCCAACAAGATTTATGTTGGGGTATGGTATAATATTAGGCCATTATAGTGGTGTATAGTTTGGTTAAGAGATAAAATATTAAATGTTTTAAAAAGATAGCCACCATTTATGTTGGGGTATGGTATAATATTAGGTCATTATAGTGGTGTATAGTTTGTCTAGTTTGGTTAAGAGATAAAACATTAAATGTTTTAAAAAGATAGCCACGTGAGCAGCTTTTTAGGCAAAAAGGTGAAAGAAGATGAACAATAATCAAACGACTTGCTATTTGTTTGTTTCTTTACTATTTGATTAAAACAACGTCGTTTTAGTCAAAACGCATCATTTCAATTAAATAAAACAACGTCATTTTGGATTTTAAAGTTTTAATTTAAGAGTTTTATCAAAGTTCAATTTAGTCCATCAACTTTTGATTTCTTTTAATTGCATCCCTAATTGGTTTAGAACTTTTAATTTCATGCAATTTTGTCCACGCCAAAATTTAACACTAACCCTGAATTTTAACACTTTTTTCATTTTGGTCATTAGTCTTAGATTTATACAAATTGACCACTAAACTTTTAATTTTTTTTAATTTCACCCTGTCTTTAACTAAATTAAGTTCCTAAAGTGACTTTCTTTAATTTAACTTCTAATTGACCTTAAAGTTTTATTTTTTTGCAATTCTACTCTTGATTTTAATTAATTGACTTTGTAAAAATTAAGTTAGATCCTCTAAAATCTTAATTTTCTCAATTAAACCCAAATTGGGCTCCGAACTTATTGTTCACCAATTAATTCTCTAATAAAATTAATTTGACCCATTTAAAGTATAATTAATTTCTTACACTTAATCAATCCTTTAATTTGACTCAAATTAATTTTTAAACAAAATTAAACTTTTAATTTGGTCTTTTATTAAATTAAATTATTCTATTAAACATTTAGTTATATCCTTGGACTTAATATTTATGCAGATCCATCCAAAAATTATTTAATTTGATCTTGAATCAACATTATCTTTCTAGTCTTAGGTATAATAGAATATGATTAGACTCTAAATTTTATCCAAAACTTTAGCTTAATTCTTCTGTATATATCTGGAACCTTTCTTAGGTTAGCTTTTGTCAAATTGTTAGTTTTTTTTTTGTTATTATTGTTTTTGTTTTTTTACAAAAAAAAGAAAAGTTAGTTTTTTTTTTGTTATTATTGTTTTTGTTTTTTTACAAAAAAAAAAGAAGAAAAGAGTAAATTTTAGAGGTATAACTCAGAAATGAGTTTTGAAAATGCTTGTGCTTCTTTTATACCATATAAGCATAAAAATGTTGAGTTAATCTCTCATTTCTTTCTCCTTCATTGAATCATTGACTCAAACACTTTTCATTTC